GTGGATGTGTGAACTAAGGCCTGGATGAGTGAATGAACTAATGAATGCGTGGATGTGTGAACTAAGGCCTGAATAAGTGAATGAGTTAATGGAAGAATTGTTGGATGAATAAATGAAGTAGTACTGGAATTAATAAGCGAATCCATCAGTAAATGACTGGCTAGATTGATGAATGAATTATTGAATGAACTAATGAAGGGAAATATGGCATGCCACCCACGTGTCTGCAGTATCTTGGTCTCTGTGGATCTCGCCTGCTGCCTCCCCCACCTGTCTGAACACCCCCATACCTGCTCTGCCCTCCTCTGGTGCAAGCAGGGGAGATGTCCACTACATGGTGGGGGCCTGACTACCCAGCCCCTTGTTGAGGTTCTACCCCACCCTGTGTGACACGCCCTTTGTCGAACCTCCCACTCCCCAACCTGTATTGGTCACATCCCCTCTGTGCTGGCCCCTTCACCTGTTTGCCCCCCACCCTCCCCCTGCATTGACCCCTCCCGTCGGTCTGTGCTGACCCCCTCCCTCTGTGGCCACAGGGACCATGCGGCCCGTGCGGCGCAACTTCTACGACCCGTCGTCGGCGCCGGGGAAGGGCATCGTGTGGGAGTGGGAGAATGATGGCGGCGCGTGGACGGCCTACGACATGGACATCTGCATCACCATCCAGAACGCCTACGAGAAGCAGCACCCGTGGCTCGACCTCTCGTCGCTCGGCTTCTGCTACCTCATCTACTTCAACAGCATGTCGCAGATGAACCGCCAGACACGCCGGCGCCGCCGCCTGCGCCGCCGCCTGGACCTGGCCTACCCGCTCACCGTGGGCTCCATCCCTAAGTCGCAGTCGTGGCCTGTGGGCGCCAGCTCGGGCCAGCCTTGCTCCTGCCAGCAGTGCCTGCTGGTCAACAGCACGCGTGCCGCCTCCAACGCCATCTTGGCCTCCCAGCGCCGCAAGGCGCCCCCTGCCGCCCCGCCACCGCCGCCGCCACCCGGAGTGCCGCCGGGTGCGCTCGCAGTGCGCCCCAGCGCCACCTTTGCCGGCGCGGCGCTCTGGGCTGCACCCACCACCGGCCCTACTGAGCCCGCGCCACCCCCTGGGGTGCCCCCACGGAGCCCCAGCGCCCCCAGCGGCGCACCCACCCCCGGGCAGAACAACCTCAACCGACCAGGACCCCAGCGCACGACCAGCGTGAGCGCGCGCGCCTCCATCCCACCTGGGTAAGACTGGGGGGCCCGGGGAAGCAGGGAAGGGGGTCTCCTGCAGCTAGGGACGGGTGCCTAGAGCGGCTGCCGGCTAGGGCCAGGATAGAAGAATGGTGGTAATGATCCTGATAATACCTGGCGTCTGGTGGGTGTTCTGTTGGTACCAAGCGTCACTATGCCCCTTAACATGTTCATACGTGTATGTGTTCACATTCTTGTCGGCACACAGCGACCGGAGGAGGTAGGTACCACCCTGGTCCCCAGCTACCCTGGAGTTGACTTCAGCTCATGGCGACCACAGGACTGTGCTCCATAGCTGATTTTTTTAGTACATCACCAGGCCTGGGTGCCTCTGAGTGGCCTCAGACCTCCAACTTTTCACTTAGCAATCGAGCCCTTCCATCATTTGCATCACCAAAGAAGCTGACACAGCAGGAAGGCGAAAAACTTCTCTAGGATCTAACAGTTCAAGAGTGATGGGGCCATAAGGATGATAGCAATGGCCCAAATTTGCCTTTGGTTTATTTGGTATTTATTCCTTGCTAAACTCTGGTGATGCAGTGGTCAGTGCATTCGGCTGTTAACCAGAAGGTCGGCAGTTCAAACCCACCAGATGTTTCACAGGAGAAAGACGAGGCAGTCTGCTTCTGTAAGATTTATAGTCTTCAAAACGCTATAGGGCGGTTCTGCCCTGTCCTATACGGTTGCTATGAGTTGGAATCAACTTGGTGGCAGTGGGTTTGGTTTTGTTTAATTTCTTTATTGGCAGCAACTCATTTAATCCTCTAAATAACCCTATCATTCCCATATTACAGATGAGGTGGATGGGAGGGGTATGGTGCCTTCCAAGAGTCAACCAGGGAGGAAGCAGGGATTGGAATGCAGGCCTCTAGGATTCCCGAGTCTGGGCTGTGTGAGCCCCATTTGACTATTACAGTATTAACCCCAAGCAATGGTGATGTAAGGAACCTTAGTGGCACAGTGATTACGTGCTCAGCTGCTCACTGAAGGTTAGTGGTTTGAACCCACCAGCTGCTCCATGGGGAAAAAATGTTACAGTCTGCTTCCATAAAGATTTCAGCCTTGGACACGATATAGGGCAGTTCTAGTCTGTCCTGTAGGGTCACCGTGAGTTGGAATTGACTTGACAACAACGTTTTGTTTTGTTTTGTTTTTAATGGTGACATTTCAGGAGAGGACTAGTGCCCCCACATGAGATGGTGGGCATGGATTGGCAGGTTGATTCAGAAGCCATCTAAAAAGAAAAGCTGGCTCCAGGGACGCCTGGGGTGGCCTGCAGTAGTAGGGGCTGCTGGATAGTAGAAGTCAGGACACACCAGGCTCTTGGCTCTTGTTTTCAGAGAGCAGCCTTTTAGGAAATGTCCTTCACCACTCGGCTTTCCCAGCAGGATTTCATTAGGAAGGGAACCCCGCCCATACCAAGTTTGAAAATCCCTGGGTTAAGGCCTCCCAAGCCCCAGTGAGCCCTGGAGCCCAGCCCACGGCCAGTCTTAGCAGAGGACCAGCCCATGAGGGAGTAGGAATGAGAGGAAGAAGCAAAGACCTTGAGCTTGGGATAGACCAGAAGGGAAGAGACCAGGTGGGCTTAGGTGTCGTGCCCAACAGCAGGAGGAGGAGAAAGGCAACTCTGCTTGGATCCCCGTGGTGTGGCAGGGGACTTGACCAGGATGATCTGAGAACCGCCAGGGTGAGCTCTGGGTGCATCTCTAAGGCTACCGGGTCCAGGTCCCTCCTTTCACCATGGCAAGCAGAGCCCTATCTAAGATATGGCAGGTGTGGCCCGTGCCTTGGACGCTACCTGAAGGGGGCGCCACTGAGCAGTGTCTATAAACCATCCCGGTTTCCATGGCCAGCTGTGTAAGATTATTCAGCAAATTCAAGCTCAGGCTGTCGTATTTGAGCGCCTCAAGGCAGACTGTGTGATCTTGCTGTGCAGAGCGTAGAAAGGGAAGAAACTGGAAACAAGGATGTGAGTACATTGGAGACCAGTTTCCGTCCATGGAAGCCAGGAAGGTGCAGTTGTCATTTTCACGGAGTGCTACAACGTGTTCAGTAAAAGATGAACGAGCTTGACTTGTACTTTTGAGTTGATACCGTGGTCAAGTTGTAGGTGTTAGATGTTTGGACAGGGGCGCAATTTCGGCGCTTGCCACAGATGCTGGTTTCTGTGGATACATCTCTGCTGCCTCAGCTGCCCTGTCCGCCTTATGTCCCTTTGAGAGTCTCACCGCCTGTACTCAGGGCCTCTCGTGGCTACCTGTGAGCGGTGTGATCTGGGGCACGTCACTGCCCTTCGCTGAGCCTCGGTCTCTTCGTCTGTAACCTGGGGCCAGAACTCTTTGATGTGGCGCTGCTGTGAGCTTCAACATGGCGTCTGCACATCTCAGCACCTTACCTGTGGTCATCAGGGCTGCTTTTGTGACCCAGCTGCAAATCTGGGAGAAGAGGGAGGGCAGCACCTACTGCCACCTGTCCGCCCTTCTTCTGCAGGTCATTCCCTCTGGGGCCACCGAGGGACCAAGTGGAGGTGTGTCCCCTATGCCCCGTGCGGTCCAGCCTCAGCCCGACCCATTGCTGGAGGGGTCTGGGGGAGGCTTCCAGGGAAGCAAGGGGGGCTCGCCCATCTGGTGAGCACAGGCAACTGGAAGCTCAGTGGGGCTCCTTGTAGATGGCAGTGTGGCCCTGGCTCCTAAAAGAGGGGCCTAGGGACCCTAGAGTGGCGGGAAAAGTGGGACATCGAGCCTGGAGCGGCTGTGGGAGTGCCAGCACCAGGAACCTGCGCAGCGGGAACCGGGGAACCTTCTCTCTGGGGCAGTGTTTTTCAAACTGCAAGTTGTGACCTACTAGTGGGTTGGTTGCAAAAGGCACCCTGGTGGTGCAGGGGTTAAGCGCTCAGCTGCTAACCAAAAGGTCAGCTGTTCAGACCCATCACCCACTCCATGGGGGGAAGATGAGGCAGTCAGCCTCTGTGGAGATTACAGCCGTGGAAACCCCAGGGGGCAGTTCTACTCTGGCCTGCAGGGTCGCTATGGGTAGGAATACACTCCACAGCAGTGGGTGTTAGTGGATTATGGAGTTTCTTGGAATGGAAGATATGGAATGGAGAGTGGAGTGGAGTGGGATAGGAGCTCCAGCAGGCATCCTACGTAGTAAAGGTTAGAATGACCCCAGGAACCTTGTACTTCATCTCTATGCGTGTTTAGTGGGTTGCCAGGTAAAGTGAACTTTAGTTACTGACACGGTGTTTAAAAGCCACTGTTCCTAGACCAGGCCAGGAATTTCTCAGCTTGGATTGCTGATCCTAATTCTGCAGATAGGTTCTATGGGGGTGTGTTCCCAGAGGTGAGCGCAGACCAAGCTCCTGTCCTCAGGGAGGTGCAGTCCGACAGAGGAGGAGGAGGTGGCAAGGAAAAGACTAAATGAATATGACGGGGTGAGGGAGTGCTGTGGAGGCATTTGGATGGGGTAGGAGGGTCCAGAGTGGGTGGGGTGGTCAGGGAAGACCCCGCTGAGGAGGCAGCCAGGGCTGGTCCAGGCGGAGGGAACCGCATGTGCAGCGTCGAGGCAGGGGCTGGCAAGGGCTGGCAAGGGCAGGGCGTGTCAGTGAAAGGCAGGGTGGGGTGGGGTGAGGAGGGGTGTGGTGCTAGTGAGCAGCGGAAGGGCCTGCCCAGCAGGGTTCTGTGGGTGCACAGGGGTGGGGGTGAGAACGGACCCAGCAGGTTCTGGACACCACCAGGAATGGAATTCCCTGATAGAACAGTGAAGACTGTGATTTTCCCCAAGGGAGGTTGTGGGGGCTCCTCCAGGGAGCCTGGGCTTGGGGCTGATGGCAGTAGGGAGCTAGACAGTACTCTTGCCTTCAAGAGGGCTACAACTGTTCCTTGGGAATGTGCTCGTCAGACATGCCCGCCTCTGATCTGCCGGAGCTGTGCCCCCAGCCACGTCATCCCCCCCGCAGCTACGTTGTGCCCGCCCTCGACATCCTCCCCCCACACACACATCGACATCATCTCCCCTTCCTCCTGGGAGCCTTCCTGACCCTGCTGGAGCCCAGGCACTCACCTCTTCTGTCCCCAGCCATGTAGACCCTGCCCAGTGTCACCCCAGCCCCTCTAAGCCTCCCTCTGCAGCCAGATGGGCCTGTATCAAGGGCCCCAGTCCTCCTTTCCAAGGAATCCCAGCTAAATTACGCCTGGCAGGACCTGAGGAGTCTGTCGCTGGGTGAGGGGATGGCAAGGAGGAGGGAATGGGGATGGTAGACCCTGAGGCTGAAGCCTCCATGGGCAACTGAGGCCCAGGAGCAGCCTGTGAAGGGGAAGGGATGGCGTCTCCAAGGAACTGACAGCCAGGCCCTCTCCAGCCCTGCCTGGGTCTCCAAGCCCCTTCTTAGCCTCATAGGGAACAAGGCCCTCCCCATGGTCTCTGTCTCTCTGTGTTCTCATCTCTCCGTGTATCTCTCTCTTCCTGCATCTCTTTGTCACTCTCTGTCTCCACATCTCTTCCCTGCTCCTCCTTACCCACCCTCTCCGTTCCCTCTCCGCAGCTCTGTCTCTAGTCCTCCATGTTCACCTTCCTACTCTCCCCTGCTGGACTCAAACCCAGATTCACCTCGGACACATGGCTTTGCCCCTCTGGCCTCAGTTTCCCTATCTGCCAAATGGAGCTGAACCTGCTACCACATGCACATGTGCAGGGCTGATGCGTATGCAAACGCATTAAACATTGTCAAGTGTGATCCGCGCGTGTGAGGGAGGAGGGAACTCCCTAAGCGCTCCCCCTCCTCACCGTAGCCCCTGGTGGGGCACCAGGCACCACAGACTTGCCCGAGGTCACACAGCCAGTGGGGGCAGAGCGTTGACCTGGTCAGGGTTTTTTCCACTCCCCAGGCTGCCAGTTTGCTCCTGTGATGGGGCTGGAAACCAGCTGGCGGCCTGGGCCCAGGGGGCCTCACAGGGGTGGGGAAGATCCGCCCTGTCTCCTGAGAGGTCAGTGAC